TGACACACTGAAACAGTAAAAAGACCTTGACAGCACTAGCGACATTTTTGCCCTGAGGCCTGAATCCCCCAAGAACACTAATGGCCTGAGGGGTAAGCCCCACATGCCCAATGACCGCAATACCAGCTTCTACAATGGCTTTAGCAGCCGTAATCCTTGAAGGTGATCCTCCTTCCAGTTTAATTGCATCCATCCCTCCTTCTTTCAAGACTTTGACCGCGGTATCAACTGCCTGTTCATGAATTTAGACTGCAACATCACCAACCAAAATTTTCATGCTTAAACTGCCAAACCAAATATCTAATGCAGCATCCAGGCCTAAACATTTTTCTTGTTAAATAATAGATTTTGATCAACTATCTAAAATCACATCCCCCTGTATACAAGCCCCTAATTGTAACTATCAAAAGCAAACTATAATCTAGATACTGTGTTTAAATTTAACTACCAGAAACTAAAGACGGACAACTCGAGTTCGAAATCTAAACTTCAATAACACCAATATCAAATGAAACAATTTACTTTGTAACCCTTTAACCAAAAAACTTATATAGGAAAGAGCTGAATTTACTACTTATGCATAAACATTTTCTTCTATATCAAGTAATAATGGGAAATTAAGAAAATAAAGTATGTCTTCAGGAAATATGGCAAGAATTTTCACTGTAGAAGTATTAGAAAAGTTGACTCTTCAAGTTTATGCCAAGTAAATTAGTTATTTATAGCATAAAGAAAATGACAGAGACACGCTTTGATTATCTTCCGAATCATTTCCAAAACTGAAACTTACCCGCTAAACTATATGTAGTAGGGTATACGAAAGGGATGAATGACTATGAATTTTTCTGAAAACAGAAACCAACACCTGCTTATCGCTAGACTCGTAAGAACCGAAAGGCAAGTCCCCGACGAGAAGCGGGGTCTTGGCGCCTCGTGCGACGGCGCGGCAATGGACGAGCATTTCGTCGAGCGAGATGGGTAGTGTGGTGTCATGACCGTGAACCACCATGGAGGCAGAGTCACCGACGAGGCAGATATCGATCCCGGCAGCGTCGAGGTGCACTGCGGAGGGATAGTCGTAGGCGGTGACCATGGTGATGGGCTCGCCTTTCTTGTGCTTCTGCCTAAGATGGGCCAGAGTAACCCGCTGGTTCGGGTTCTGGCTCTTGGGTCCCCCGTATACTGTGTTCTCGGGGACATTGCTCATGGCGCGCACCTGGCGCTGGAGCAGTTGTGACAGGATCCGTGCTCCGTTGATTTTAGAAATACTTGAAATAGCCATTTCCGGATTCTGAAGGAGATGAAGAAATTTAGACTGGGCCTCCAATTTATTATAATTATTATTTATTGTTTAATTTTTACTTTTATGTTTGGAATAAATGATTATCAGCGTGAAACTCTTACGACTCTATATAGCTTAAATATGAAGATACTTAAATCTAATAATTTTTTTTTATAAAAAAATTGGAATAATATAATTTTGATAATTGTTAATTTTTTTAATCATAGTGGTATATAAGGAGTGAGTTATGATTGTTAACTTTTTTAGTTATATATTTATTTATCTAAAACTAATAGTAAACGAGTAATTTAAAAGCGTTTTGAGAAGAAATTAATACTACAATATATTAAAGTATTTATATTGAAAAATTCAAGTACTACATATAGAGATAACCCTTTATTTAAATATAAATTTAAAAATGAATCAAGTTAAAGATTTATAAAAATTAAATTAATAATTGATTTATAATATTTAATTTAATAAAATTAATAATTTAATTTATTAATCTTATAATAATTAAATTAAATTAAAATTTTAAATAAATTAAAGAGTCACGTGTACTTAAAAAAAAAACCCAACTAAATTTTTTGTTTATTAAGAAAAAATATCTTCTGATTGACATTCACTTTTTATTATCTTTAAATATTTATAGTTATGTTAAATTGAAAAAAAAAATTGTAAGGTTTGAATAGATATTAATTATGCATTACCTAACTATAATTATATATTTGTTATTAGTAAAATTTAAAAATGTATTATAACGTTAAAATCAAATTAATTTATTTAATTACTATGTTTTAGAATATATTTGCAAAAGTAAATGTACAAATTTAAAAATTATAATAGAGAGAGTTAATTTGTTGCAAGTATTACTACAATTTTTTTTTTTTTTATAAATATTTTAAATCTTAAGAAAATTATTTAAGCCAGGAATTGAATTGATTGGAGTGAGACGCAGGCGTTTTGGCTGCGTCACCTGCATATCACCTACTGCGGTGATAGTTGATTTTAGGCTACACTGCTACCTACTGTAGGTCGTCTATTCCTACGCGCCTTTTGTCTCTCGTGCAGCCCACTCACTCTGCTGCTTTTCGATTCTTACTTTGATAATTAATTAATTAATTTATTTAAGAAAAACTTTAAGGTGGCATTTTACATGCACGTGAGTGAAAGTGATTAGTATCACTCAGAATATACGATTGAACATATAATTAATAAGATGTTTAAGGTTTAAAATGTTGGATAAAACAATTACTTTATATTTTTAATAAAATGTTCTAATTTGGGACAAAAATATCGTCACTTTTTGGAGACAAAGTTACTTTTTGAAAAAAATATTTTTTAATGTTATTTTTTTAAACTGAATATAGATTTATAGAATATAAATTTTAGTTATAAAAATAATGTTTACATTATTATTATTTTATAATACAAAGAAGTCATAAAACTAAGATAATTAAAATACTATTCTTTTTTTTTATGAATAATTAGAGTTGAAGATGTACATTTTAATTTTCTCAAAATAAAAAAGAATGTTTTGAAAAGTTACTTTTTCAAATTTCATATGAATCCAAAATAAAAATCGATTGTACGTCATACACGTTTCGAACCGTGCAAGAAGTCAGTTAAATTTGTAATTATTCGATGCGGTGAAGTCTATTATATTATTCTGTTTCCCCAATCTATGCCGTCCCGAAAATCAAATAATTTCCATCTAGATTCTGTGGGAGAGAGATCTTTGAATCGGAAGAACCACAGGACCGCAATATAGCTTTTGAATGTATAGATTTAACACCATGCCTACATATTCTACGATAAAGCGACGCACACAATCATTCCTCACACATTTCGAAAATGTTGACCGCTCACGCGCCAACATTCTCGAAATGGATAAGACCGCTCCTCCTCGGTTTCTCTTCTCAATCTCTTAGCATCTCTTCGCCGATTCCGGCCGCGAGATTTGTCTACTTCCATTCTCGACGAAATTCGGTTCACAAAGTAACAAACATGGCCGGAGCTGTTGAAATTGCCGGCGATTCATCGCCGTCGGATCATGTCGTGGGGAAGTGGTTCTCGGTGCCGGATCTCCGGGTTCGTGATCATCGCTTCGCTGTCCCCCTCGATTACTCTTCTTTTGACAGAACTGCTCCAAAGATATCGGTTTTCGCTCGTGAAGTCGTCGCTGGTAATTTATCTTACAACATTTTGATAGTCATTTTTTACTTGAGAAGCTTTGGTTAATGAATGTTTGATTATGCTTTATGGAGCAAATTTGTGGTGGTCCGGTGCTCTGTTCAAAAAGAGAAAGAGAAAGGTCAAAGTGATAAAGTCAACTCAACTAATCCTTGAAATTGCATTTAGTTTTAATTCTATGTGACTGTTCATTGATTTGTGAAATGGTTAATCTTTCGGTAGTCAAAATTCTAATATCTTAAGCAGCGTGGTTTAATGAGTCTAAGAAGTTCAGATCTCTTCCCATGTTATTCTTGCGATAGTGGCAAGTAAAACGACCCGTTAGCTGCCCGTTTGACTTTTATGCGAGCTTTATTCTTGTGATTTCTCAGTGTTTTAAGGGTTATCATTACAGATGCAGAGAAATGGGAGTTAATTTTAGGCCTTTGAATTATATCTAGAATTGACTTGTATACCAGATTATGTATAAGTAAACTTCTCTAGTTGAAATGGATCATGAATATTTTCAAAATAAGTATTCTATAAAAATTCAATCAAATCACTATACTTGAGGAAACACAAAATAGAACTAAAAGGTATTTAGATTCCTTTCTTTCAAGTTTCAAATTTTAGTTTCAAATTCCGTTGAAGTTGGTAGAGTTGAAATGCATTTACTGAAGTTCATGTTTCTACACTTTAAAATCAATATCATAATATTGTAAAGATAGCAACGTGAGTTACAAAACGAATTCAATATATATGGGCTTTGCGGGCATTTAAAACTTTCTTGAGGCTTGTGCAACTGTGCTCTTGATGGCTTTTCCAAGATCCATGAGAAACACTGCTTTTACTGATAATACTTGAGTCAAATAGCAGGCTTTTTATTTCCTAACCAAGCATGGGTCTAGCAATAAATCTATAGAGTTGTCACTTTGATGATTTATACATATATAGCTTCTGACCATCTCCAAAGACCATTTGTCAATGGACATTTGAGCTAGTTGTGATGAGTTTTAAATAATCCATTCCATTTGATCTGTACTTCACTAACGTATGTTCTATTGCAGTCGGAAAGGAAGAGCAGCCACTACCTTACCTATTATACCTGCAAGGTGGACCTGGTTTTGAATGCCCACGACCAACCGAAGCAAGTGGATGGATAAATAAAGCATGTGAAGAATTTCGAGTTGTTTTGATGGATCAGGCATGATTTTTTCGGCAGTACTTTATCAGCACTTAAATTTGGCAATGAGCTGTCTTTTTGCTCCAGCTGATGTATGTTTCTTGCAGCGAGGAACAGGTTTATCCACCCCTTTGACAGCATCATCTATGCTACAACTGAAGTCTGCAAAGAAATTGGCTGACTACTTGAAACATTTTCGAGCTGACAGTATTGTAAATGACGCGGAATTTATTCGAGTTCATCTTGTTCCTAATGCTGAACCCTGGACTATTTTGGGTCAGGTATTAAGATTGTGATTCTGACTTAACTGTCATCTTTGGTGATTCCTTAGGTTTAACCATTCTTCTTGTAATTAGTTTATTCTTATTGCCTAATATTTTCGGTTCTGGAAAAGAAAGTAGTATTTAGTTGTTCTGTGCAATTTGCACATGGTCAATTGAAACCTGAGACAGTTGGATTGCTGATTCCTTGTTCCTTTCTTTCTTTTTTTTTGGTGGGGACGGTGGGTGTTTTTCTAGAGCTACGGTGGATTTTGTGCAGTTACCTACTTGAGCTTTGCTCCGCAAGGACTGAAACAAGTCCTTATAACTGGTGGGATTCCTCCAATAGGAAACAGGTGTACTGCAGAGGCTGTCTATGCTGCATGCATTGACCAAGTTATTCGTCAAAATGAGAAGTACTACAAGAGGTTTCCTCAGGATATTGAAATTGTTCGTGAGATTGTAAAGTATTTGGCAGAATCAGAAGGAGGCGGGGTAATGGTCTAATGGATATTCTATTGGGGCTTGAAAAGCTCTAATTCTAGCTATATCTTTCCAGTCTCTTGCTCATTCCTTTTCATTTTCTAACAGGTGCCTCTTCCATCAGGGGGCATACTAACCCCACGGGGACTGCAAGCTCTGGGTCTCTCTGGATTGGGAGCCAGTGGGGGGTTTGAGCGCTTGCACTATCTGTAAGGCTTCTGGATTAGACGTCACAAGTTGGAATTTCTGAAATTATATTCTTTCTTGTCCCTAATGGAAACTAAAATGCTCAGGTTTGAAAGAGTCTGGGATCCCGTGTTAGTTCCGGGAGCACCGAAATGTATCAGTCTCTTCTTCTTGAAAGCTGTAAGAAAATTTAAATATCTGCATTCCTACTATTCATGATTCGCTTAATTCAAACCTTCTTCCTTGTGATAAATTTTTTCCATTCATGCAGTTTGAGAATTGGTTTTCTTTTGATACAAACCCCCTCTACGCTCTTCTGCACGAGTCCATATACTGTCAGGTGAACATCCTTGTTTTCAATTCTTTTTTTGCTGGCAAAAATTTATTTCTTATTTGATTCACCGTGAATGTTACAACAAAGTGCAACCACTACATACAGATGAATTCCAATGTTTTGATTTTTCTGTGCAGAGTAAAATTCTAGTGATAGTTATTGATACATATTAGGCTCTTTTTTTTTTTCTGGAACTTTCTTGTCCCTTAATTACCTTCATTTGCATAATCTATCGAGAAGGGAGCTTCATCACGATGGGCTGCTCACAGAATAAGAAGTAACGAGGAGAATAAGTTTGATGCAGTCAAGGCTGCTAAAGAAGGACGGCCGGTACTTTTCACAGGAGAGGTAGGCCTAAACCATTTAACTCCGTACTTGATAAACATCAAGCAATATGAAAAAATTATTATTCTCGACCATATTTGGAGTATCTAATTCCTACTCTAAGAAAATAAACTCGAGTTTATGCAGATGATATTCCCATGGATGTTTGATGAGATTCATGCCTTGACACCTTTTAAAGATGCCGCTCATTTATTAGCTGGGAAGGAGGATTGGCCACCCTTGTATGACATTACCAAACTGAAAAATAACAACGTATGCTGCATTTCTGTTGTACTAGGTCTTCTGGCGTCATAACTCTGCCGACATTCTTTGTTGAGTTTTGCTAACCAACTTACACGCCCTGGTGGCAGGTACCTGTTGCTGCTTCAGTTTATTTCGAAGATATGTATGTTAACTTCAAGCTGACCATGGAGACAGCTTCTCAGATAGCCGGAATCCGACTCTGGATAACTAATGAATACATGCATTCCGGTCTTCGTGATGCTGGGGGACTAGTCCTTGATCATTTACTAGGAATGTTGAATGGAAAAAAGCCCTTGTTCTGATTCCAGTGCGTTCTCTTCCAGCACATTTATTTGTTCTGATCATTTATTTTTTTAAGAATGTCTTTGGGTTCAGTGAATAAGCCGTATCTTTGTGACATCTCTTGATCTGCTCGAAGTTTAGGGCGAGAGATTGTATATATATATATATATATATGGTTATCTTGGTTTGTGCCATTCTACATTTTGATATCATATCATAACATAAGACCAAGTTTTACTATTAATAGATTTTAATTTTGATCTTTTATTTAAATACCCAAAATAACCTTCGTAAATTTTTCCCTCTACTAAAACAATCCAATGTTAAACGTCGGGTAAATAAAGCAACTGCAAGCTGTTAACAGAGCAAGAGAGCAAAACACTGATAGCAAATTGATAAAGCCTCATAAGAAAAAAGCTGCAACACAAATCCCGAATTAGAAGAAAAGTTTCCTGTAAGTTAACGAGCTTGGATCTGCATTTAGGGAGAGGAAACTGAAGAGATTAAAGATCAGAGAGAAAGAGAGTGGAGAGCGAATAAGAGTAAAAAATCTCAGTGCAGGTTTTTTATTGAATAATTTTTACTTGCTCATTGAAGAATTTTAATGCCATTTCAAAGCTTTTATTTTCAAAAGATAATGTCTTGGTTTAAAAATAAATAATTTTGAAAAATTTTAATTTCTAAAATTAAAATAAGCCTGACCATCCCAAACTTCCGAAGCCCAGCCCTACCGTCAGAACGGTGTCGTTTTGGGGAGCTTGTTCTCGCCCCCTTTTCACCAGCGGGCCATCAGGTAAGAGGAAGCAGATTAGGGTTTTCTCCATTTTTGAAAAAGACGGGAGAAAAGGCAAAAGGGGGAGAAAAACGAAAGCAAAAACAGAGAGGATAGGGAGACGGGAACGAAAGAACAAAGCAAGGGAAGAAGGGAGGACCGACAACGAAAAGATAGCAGAAGGTTTTGAAAGGGGAATTCCAATCCGGGTTCCCTAGGTAAACCCAAACCCACAGATGATTGTATCTTGTTGTTGTTAGTTAATATTCTCAGGGTGTAATCAAAATGAGTATGAAATGTGCATGTCTAAGTTTACTTAGTATTGATTGAATTTGAATAAAGGAGAAGGATTTTATTGAAAATGTAGGGAGACTAAAGGAAAATACTCTATCGAAATGTGAACTTGAATTATTTTTCTAATATGCAGATGAACAGAAATGTGGATTGTTTCATTTGGGTCCATATGAAATGGCATGACTACTTGTGAAGTGGTAGACGGAGTACTGTTTTGGCACGAAGAATAATCTTTTTGAAATTCAGTTCATTTTTCTTTCCTTTTAAATCTGTTTGTAGTTTTATTACTTTGGATCACTGACATTAAGATTAGAGGGGCTGTTTTGACAATAATTATTTATATAAATTCTAATTTCTTCGATGCATGAATGACACTTGAGTTAATTTAGGTTTATGGGTTTATCATAATCTCAGTTTTGGTACCTGGTTTCTTTTCTCCGTTGCTTATTTTCTGCTTGAAATCAGTCCCTTCAGGATCTGTTCAAGCTCAGATGCCTGCATCCCCCTTTTGTGGCCCATTTGTGAATTTTATTTAGATTATGGTTTTCATTAAATACTCCTCCTAGTTGTTGCTGTCTTGCAGCTAATGGCACTGTTTTCTAATCATTTTGGTATAAAATTGATTATTTCAGATAGCCTTTTTCAGCATTTTTTTTTTTTTGCGTCATCCAGACCTTGAGAAAATTCTGTTTTCCAGCGGCAAGATGAATGCACAATCTGATTCAATCGTATTCAATGTAGATTAAACATTTCTTAGGCTCCTAATCTTATTCTATGTCAATTGATAGGATTAAAAAATATTAGAAGAAAAGGATTGATGTAGGATTATAAGGATGCATGAAATAACCTAAAACAAGGCTGCAATGTCTTTTGTTTTCTATGTATTATAAGAATGCATGAAGGTCACTGTTTGGATCAAAACAGGGAAGAGCCTGGACTGTTTCGTGCTCATGATTCTCTCTCCGTTTTAGGTTTTTCTGCTTAGTGGCTGTTTGGGTTGATTAAACCAAAATGTGATGTTGTAAAACTAGGAAGATAGGAGGTTGTTTTGGTTTTATTTAAACATGAGTAATTGGTGATTAGGTGTTTGCAAGGACTAAACTATGCTTGTTCTGGTTTTTCAAAATGGATGACATGCCCTAGTAATGGACAGATTTTTGCATGCGTTCTTTCTTCAAGTTTTTAGATGCATTTGATTCCTTGTCCATTTTGAGCATCGGATATTTATTTTTTGTTTAACCATATTTAAATTCTATTCCACCGGATGGGTGCCTAACCAATTCTCATCTGGTTTCATTTTTCGAACTTAGTTTCTCTTTGCTAGACCAGTGTGTGTGTGCTTGGTGTGTAATCCTGCTTTAAATGGATTAGTGGTAACTCCTCTGCATTAATGTATATTTATTTATTTTTGCAGAGTTTTTGGTCCTGCGTAACAATTGTGACAGTTTTGCTCAACTATTTGTCGATAAAAAAATTTGTAACCCCACCATGACCTGATTTAGTGGCAAAAATATAATTTGTTCATTATGTAAAATGTTTATTTTCATTTTTGGTTAGGTTGCTACAAGAGGAAGTGTAATGATTTAGGTTCTAATTTGGTTTTTGGCCTTTTGCTCTGTTGATTTATCCTCATTTTTGGCTTTGTTTTGCTGTTTTTACTTTTTATCGGATTTAGCTGTCTGCAGTCACTGCTTGTATCACCTGTTTTAAAATCATGCTTTAATGAATAATAATTGATAGATTAGTTTTCTTGGAGAGGGAGACTGGATCAATGGAAGGCAAACTTAAATTATCGTTTTCACCAATTTCCCCATTTATTTGTTTTTATTTGAATGGACTTTATTCTTTCCATCTGTTAGGGTTGTAAATATTGGTTGCTTTTTATTTTTTATTTTTATGAGATTTAGATGATGACTGTAAACATGCATATATATATATATATCTATAGTTTAGGCCCTAATGACTTTGTTCTTGCCAGAAGAAGGTGCTTAATACTTTTCTATCCTCTTAACTTCCCTAACTACTTTTATTTTAACCACTGTTGGTTTTTGTTTTAAACCGACCAAGTTGTTGTTGACTCCATTTTTTTATTGTAGTTAATTTATGTATCACAAGTAATAAGTTAAAAGGTCTTAATAGTGATTACTACAATGGCTCTCTCTCTAAAAATTGTTCTTTTTGTTTCTGGAATTTTTAGATTGAGAATGCGGAGATCATTAATGTGGTTGGCTAGACCTCTTGTGTCAACACGAGGGTTCTGCACAATCTCTGATAAGATTGTAGCGTCTGTGTTGTTTGAGAGATTGCCGGTTGTTATTCCAAAAATTGATCCGGTGATTTATGCATTTCAGGAGTTCTCGTGAGTTTCTTTGCTTTTTCTTTTCTTTTTTCTTTTTCTCTTTCTTTCTCTTTTTCTTGTCATTTCCATTATAATGGTGAAATGATGGATACATGTAAATTCCATTCCAAAAATGTATTAGAGATTTGAAAGGAAAACAAGAATTTGGTTTTAGTCCATTTTATAGGAGAAGAATACAATTGTACATGGGCAGTACCCTCCCCTTTTTGGTACCTTGTTAATATATACCTTACACTTTTTATCTCAAAAAAGTAGGAGAAGAATACAAGGAAATAGTAAATTGTGAACGACAATGTGATCTTTCTGCACTACCTCGGACTTCAGAAGCCTGAAGAGCATTATTTGATACTGCAATAGAATATCTGAGTTTAACTTTACAATTACGCTCCTTTAATTCAATTCTTAACTTATTCTTTTTAATTCCTTTCTAGCATATCAATATTTCAAAAAAAAAAATTCCTTACTAGCATGTCACACTCAAAAATTACTTACTAGCATATCTTTGACATGTCAAATAAGGAATCCAAGTTAGAATTTGAGTGATTCAAATATGGAGCTTAACAGGAACATGCTAGTAAATCTTCCTCAGAAGGAGAAAAAATAATATGCTAGTAACAACTGAGAAGGATGGATGACAAGAATGGGATGAGAATTGAACCTAAGAGGCTATATAGGCAGTTAGGACAGGATATGATATATTAGACAAATGATCGTCTGTTTCTTCAGTCCAGCTTTCTTGGTTCCAAAAGGGAGTTTAAAGCATTTATCTGTTGGGTCTTTATTACAGCAGCTATTGACGTACTTAAATGCCTGACTTTCATTTTCATTTTGCCTTTATTCATTTGGTTACAGCTGTTGTTTTGGATTGCTGATGTGATGGATTTATTTGTTTCAATTGCAAGGCAGATTCCGCTGGCAACAACAGTATCGGTGCAGATATCCAGATGAATTTTTGGATATGTCTAAATCTAGGCAGGTTTCTAAATATAGCTTTTTTCCCTTGCTGGTCATCTTCTTGAGATGTGTTCTTAGCTTTTTATCCTTGTGGGTCTAGGCAATTCTGATTTGTGAATTTCTGACATGTGACCAAATAATGCAGGCAACTTTTAATAGTTCTGTAACATGCTGGTGCTGCCTTGTATATATTGTTAGATGGACTTAAAAATCATATGATGGTGCATATACATTGGAATGGCTGCCAAACCCTATATCTGCTATTTCTTTGATTTGCTTAATGTACACATGCTTCCAGAATAATTTCTTGGTTCTCATAACTTTGGCCGGTTTGTTGGAGTATTCATTTAACTATATGATATGCTACGGATGTTGGTAGCTGTCTAGTTAATACTGTTAAATTTTATCTTTGAGATTCCAGATAAGTTGTTAGAAAAGAAAAACGTGCAATTGGTGTGGTCAACTGCATTTTAAATTTGTTTCAATCTTTTGGAAATTTCAAAAATTGATGTTGATGTAGGTGTTACAAGAATGATAATTAAGCTTTTATTTCAATTGCTACTCGGTATTATGGAAGGATAAGACGCTTTAGTATGATGATGGTGCATTCTAGTCACATGGGCAACATTCACTTGTTAACTTGTTTTTTTCCCTTAAAAAATACATATTATAAAGATTGGTAATTCCCTACCAAGACATACTTCGATAGTCACTTGCAACTCATTTTCTCCATTTCTTGAATAATGAGACGTGTTTCTGTATTTGTCATGCTTGCTATATATATGTCAC